ATAGGCTTCCCAGGACAAATTGATAATCACTATCCCAAAGATAAATGGGTGTCAGTTATTCCAGTATTTCGCTGGCTCCCACCTCGGCTCTTCTGCCATAAACCCATAAAAGAGACTATTACAGCCTTTACAGATGGAGGAAAAAAAGGGGCTGCATTGGTCATATATGACTCCCCTAATGACCCACCTATGATATATTTTCAACCTCTATCTGATAAATCTCCGCACGACCATAGTCCACAACCAGCAAAGAACCATTACCTTTTAAAAATGGGGCCCCAAGTACAGAGAATAGGTCATCACCATGGTCTCCTATCACCTCCTTGGGTCTCATGTCTGATGCAAAGCTTGGTCTATACTGAAACTCATACATGTAGATGGGAGCTCCAGCATCTGTAGAGACATCAATTTGTATAAAGTTCATATTACCAGATACACACCTGAATAGTATCAAAGCCTTAGGCCCAACAGTTGAAATGACTCTTTATCTGCAAAGGAAATAAACAGTTTCAGGAAAGCCCAGGAACTTGATTAGGGTTACAGAGCTGGCTGATGTGGAATAAAGAGTTGAATTAGATGTTTATTCAGTGACATATGAAAGGATGCAGTGCACACGGTACATAATAAGCAGATTGTGTCAATGATGACCCACAGTGTTCACTGATTTCGAGAAAATTTACAATCTAATTTATGTCTTCCACTCCCAGTGCTCTTCTTAACTCTGCAGAGCAAACCCAAGCTGCTTCTCTGAAACTGATGATAGTTGAACAAAAATAAATGCAGCAATAGATCAATCTGTCTCTTGTGTCTCATGACACTATAACACTTGGAGGCGAAGTACATGTTTCATATCCAGTCTCATGCTGACCCAAATGCAAGGTCTCAAAGTAACATAGTGGTGGTAAAACAGAAGTGCCAAAGCAAAGCAAACTGGCCTCTCCTCCAACCTCTCTCCTGTTCTCCTCTGCCTTCTACTTTTACCACCACAGGTCAAGAGGCCACATTGCTCACAGGATCATGGGGCCACCAGTGTTTGCTCCCTAGAAACTAACCCATAACCTCGCAGCCTGAGAGACTCAGAACTGAGTAGTGGCCATTGTAGAGCACACATGCCCACAGAGGGTGACTCTAACGAGGGAAGGTTGAGACCCTGTATCAGCCTGATGGAGAAATTTTACAAACTTGTCCCCTGTAGGTAGAGTAGGGAGATTGAAAAATGGACAAAATAAATAAAATGTGCAGTTGTATCTATAATACAGAGAAAGCATCTACTGTATTATAGAACATATACTTTATATATGTATGTACATATTTCTTTATATATTTGAAATTGTTTTACCATTTACTTTACACATATATATGAGATAATTCTATTTATAGTACATTAAATACACTATTTTTGTGTCATGTGATATCCACCCACAAAAATTTTCAACAATATACGTCCTCCTGGCACAAGATAAAGAATAATTTAATTACCTCACAGCTCTATCACCATAACCTTGGGCTAACATGTGACTCTGCAATCCACTTATAAAACAGTGCCCCATGGTAACATAGAACTTTCTGGAAAGAGGGATTAACCCTGCTCCTGCCACTCAATTATTGTAGAAAGGAAGTCAGGAGTATGCATTAGAGAATTTTTGTAAATAAGAGAGAATATCTTAGGAAGAACACTTGAGGATCATTGCCCAATATATTTTTGTAACTTTTTGCCTGATACCTTGACATTTGTAAAATTTTTCTAATTTGTCTAATTGTAATCCAAGCCTTAGAAGGAAAATAACTATGTATTTAGATAGTTCCTCAAGCAGACAAACACCCAGCATAGGTTGGAACAAGAAAAGCAAACACAATGGACACCATTATCAGACCGTATTTAAACAATAAGTCTTTCATAAGAAGAAAGGAGGAAAAGAGCAGGAGGCATATTTCAAGAAATTATAGCTAAAAATGTTCCTAATCCAGGACAGATTCTAGGTTAGGAAATAGGCTTGGGAGATGCAGAGGTCTCCAAACATGGTTAACCAAGACATAAAACAGGCAAAGCATGAAAAGTCAGACAAAGAAAACTCCAAGGAGCAAAAAAGAAGAGAGCAGAATGATAATACAATGTGCTGATGAAGGTAACTGCCAACCTAGAGCACTGTGCTCAGCAAAAGTGCCTTTCAGACGTGAGGGAGAAATGACAGCTTCTCCTGACAAACAGAAGCTCATAAAGTTCATCTCTACTTGCCTTACAGGAATTGCTAAAGAGGGTTCTTATAGAAACTTAAAAATGGAACCTCTACAGCTAAGGCTGAAGGAACACAATGGAACAAGGGGTGGAAAAAACATTAATGCAGCTCTCAGCCCTCAACAATGAGGCTCCCTCACGCAACAGAGGGTAAGAAACATAAAAGGTCACAACTGGCCAAAGTGTAGGGAACAAGAGTCTGCAGAGTGTGGGTCCTTGGACAGTATTACGATATTAAATTTCACCCATCCAGGGTTCAGGGACCATTGCGGAAGATGGGCCAGAAGATTGTAAGAGCCAGAGGATGAGGTGCAGATCATATCACAACAGAGTCTTACAGGCTCCTGGGACCTTGCTCATATGAACCCACACCAGTAGTGTCAGCATGTACAAAATCCATGCAAACTTAAGCAGGCAAACACCCAGCATAGAACTGGGAAACTGGGCAACAGGTCCCAAATGTTAGCCAAAGAACTATTGGCATCTGATTACTGCTAAATGAGGGAGAGTTGATCTTCAATGGAGAGACTCTAGACAGGCTAACTAGACCCCAGTGGATGAACTTGCACTAAGGGATGTCGGGTATACTAACTTAACAGGCCTTAACATAAATGACAGAATTCCTGAAATCTGATGAGGGTGCTTTGGGAGGGTGTGGATGAGGAGGGAGTTTAAAGATGATTGTATGAAATGCATAAAATTCAATAAAAACATAGAAAATGGCAACAATTAACAGGAAACATGAAAACATTAAAGTTGAAGGTATAAAATTAACCACATGCAGGACACTCTTAGGATTGTAATGATGGCATGAACACAGTTTTATCCTGAATAGTGCAAGAGGCCAATAGAAAATTGCTGCTACCAATTGGAGTTGAAATAAATTATTTCAGAGTAAAAATAAATTGTTGTTCAAATGATGTGAATTCTGACATCAAAGAATACACATCAAGAGCAAAGGTGTAGAGTTCTTATACAGGACCAAAGTTACACTCTTACTAGCTTAATATAGGCTGTTAAAATGACAATAGGGTTCAGTGAAATGGCTCTGCCAGGAAAGGTGCTTGCCACCCAGAGCGAAGTCCTGAGTTCAATTCCCAGACCTGCATAGGTCTCAGAAGAGAGCTCTCCTACAGGCTGTCTTCTGACCTACACATGTACACCATGACATTCACACACACACACACACACACACACAAGAAATGAAAACAAGAAATGTAATAGGCTATACAGAAGCTTCTGTAGACAGAAATCAAAAATCTTCAGTCAAGACGTAACCTTACAGAATCTCAGAAAACTACAACTGAAGACACCAAGAGAGGGGAAAGAATTTACAGTATAACTAGAGGAAAATTAACAAAATGGAATTATTAAGTCCTTGCCGACCAAAACTTATCTTCATTATAAATTCTGACCTAAAAGTCACAGATTGAATGGAGCTTCAAACAACCTGAGCATGTGCTCACATACACATACAAACTTACCTTTAAAGATACAAATATACTGGAAGTGAAGGGGTGATAGCAAGTATGATACACAAAGGGGAGCAAAGGGGAGGAGAGGCAGCGAGTGTTATATCAGACAGGATAGGGTTTAAGTAAACCCGTTTGAGCAGCTGGACCTGGTGGCTCACACCTATAATATTAGCACTCAGGAGGCTGAGGCAGGAGGATCCCTGTGAATTTGAGACCAATCTGGAATATAGTACATTCTAAGCCAGTCTGGACTACAAAGTGAGATATTATGTGAAAAGGAAAAATTATGAAAAGAGATAAAGTCACAGACAGGATCAAATCATCCATAGCACATAACAGTGTTAAATTCAGACTCAATATAGGGCTTCTATACATATAAAACAAAGAGTAGAGACTCAGAAGTGAGCAAACTTGTAACACCACAGCAGGAAGGGGTCTATAGTATCCATACTTACAATGCACAGACCAACCAGACAGAAAATTCACAAGCAAATACTGGAGTTACATGGCATATTGGACCAAATAGACCTATCAGAAAGTACAGACTATTCCATCCAACACCAAAAGAATGCACACAGTTTTCAAGTCACAACAGAACGTTCTCTATAATAATAATAGATCACACCTGTGTAAAAAACAACCTTCATTTAATTTAATAAAATGAAATTACAACAAGTATCTACTCTGACAACAGTGGATGAACACTGTAAATCAACCAGAAGAGGAAATTTAGAAAACTTAAAACCCTAGAAGTTAGGAAGCATGTTCCTAACCAAGCAATATACCAATGAAGAATTTAAAATAGAAATTTAAGAATATATCAAATGTGGTTATGATTTATTGTATAATATGCACAAAGATTCCATAAAAATATACATTAAAAATGAGAATGAAAACAAATATACCAACACTTATGAGTGACAGCGAGAACAACTGTAAGAGAAATCTATAGCAATAAAGACCTACATCAAAAGGAAGAATAGTCTCAAACAATCTATAATCAAGGAACTAGAAAAATAAAGTGCAAAGTTAGAAGAAAGGACAAAAATCATAAAGATTAAATCAAATGTAGTTTGAGAGTTTAGAAAAGAAAAAGGTGAGTGGGTGAGATAGGCTGACTAGACTCCAGTGGATAAACTTGCACCAAAGGACACCCGGATAGAAATGCTTGACTGGACAAGGCTTAACATATATGACAGAATACTTGAAATCCAGTGGGGGGCACTCAGGGCCTGCGAGGTGAGAGGGGTTCTAAATTTTATTAAGATGTATTATATGAAATGCATAAAACTCAGTAAAAAATGCAAGGAAACATTTTTAATAGATGAAAAACATTAAGAGGGTTTAAAAAATTTTTATCTATTATTTTTATTTTGTATGTATGAGTATATTGCTTGCATGTGTATGAGTGCACCTGTGTCATGCAATGACCAAGGAGGTCAGAAGAGGGTATCGGATTCCCTGGAACCAGAGTTACAGATGGTTATCCTCCATGCCGGTTCTGGGAATTGAACCCGGGTCCATTGCCTGAGCAGCCAGTGCTCTTAAACACTGAGCCATCTCTCTAAGGCCCTGAGAGGTTCTCTTTGAAAAACTATCTTGACAATCTTAGACTAACCAGAAAATGAAAGAGAAGATGCAAGTCACAATAAAAAATAAAAAGAGGCAATACAACTGATCTT